AATTGAATTGTTTTTCACTAGTCCGCATTTTTTGGGCCTTAGATAGCCTAGTCCTGCTGTCCTCAAACTTTTGTCGATTGCAACCCACTTTTGAGAATTTTCATAAGCTCGTGACGTTTGAATACGGATAAATCCACCCCAAAAACTCCAAAGTATGCCTTCAAACAGCATGATTGCATGAAACCCAAATACGGAATGCCATTTAATGTAATTAATTCCCATGTAGGAAGTGTGGCTTAACAATTTCAAAATAGCCCAAAAAATATCAATCTAGTTAAAATAGCTAAAAACTACTGAATTACATAGTTGAAGATGCCAAGTTTGAAATAACAGACTTAAAGTGGTCATTTTAAACGATAGATGAGGAGATGAGTATAGAGTTGATAGTTCCGTTAGAGTACGGCAGGGTGAAAAAAAATTAAATAGAGAGTAGAAAGCGAGAAAGGACAACTTTGAGGAGGGTACGAATCGGGCTAATCATCTCTCTTTACCAAACTCCAGTGGTTGAAATCGGCATTTTCGTGCGCTTAATTAATAGCTCCTTTATCATGAAATTAAGAGATATGGTGTCTTCAGAGAAGTGTTTCAATATGTTACTGCGCTTTTTTGATGTTTTTAGTTAAAAGATTAATCCCCCTAAAAGTGAGATCGAAAATTTATTTTTTCAACTATTCAAGATACAGTGTTGATGTCTTCGACAAAGTTGTAGAATTTTTTTTTTCAAAGAACTTTGTTGGAGATGCTTAATTAATATCTATTTTACTTTTCAAGATATGTGACGTTTATTGCCGACGGTCCCTCAAAAATGGTTTTCTCATCATAACTTTTTGGTCTACATTTTTACGACTTTGTTATGTTGTAGTAAGTTGTAGATAATAACAAAATACACAATATTGTAGATTACCACATTGCAGTATTTTCTGTAGAAAAAAAGTTATTGAAGTTTTTGTAGATTTTTAGACCATAATTTATGAACTTGTAACTTAGCAGGGGGCAAAATGGGGCAAAGTACCCATGGTGCATCTGAAACTTTAATAAATTTACTTCAAAATGATAGCAAACATCTGTGAATGTAAGCGATTGTTGATAAACTATGATTTAAACAAAATAGTGTTAGAGATATCTTGTATACATTATATTGCTACTGTAAGCCATGACTCAAGACTTCAATAATTTTTCTGAGTCCCTTAGCAACCATCGACAAGTGAAGTAAAATAACATTGTTAAATCTTAATTATTTGTTGGACATTGAGTGGTTTGAAAGCTCTATTGTGTACACGAATCACGGTAACAGTGCCCAGTTTTCAACTGTATAAATGGCCTCCATCGGTATGTTAAATATCTCAATTTGAAATTTGACTGTTTATGTTTTGGAATTTATGCCAATAACTATTTTTTAAATCATTCTTATATCCCAGTTGAAATCGATAAACATCATCTATTTTCAACATGGAGAGCAGCAGGAAGGAGTTTGGCGATAAAAAATCGCAGCGTATTCAAAGAGGTCCTGAAAGCCTATTCAATTGATTCAGACATTATGCCGGAAGTTGCTGTAGAGGTTGAAAAGTACACCAAGACTATTTGTGATATTTTTCAAAGTCTTTGGATAAAACATAATCGCACAGCTGACAGGGTGCTGCTCCACCATTTTGAGAATTTCAAAATACTGTTCAAACTTCCAGCAAATATTCTCAATATGCTTCCTTCGTCATCATCGAGTGTCCCGGCTGGGCGTAAGCCAATGCCATTCGAAAAGTTTAGTGACTCGACTAAAAGAAAGAAAACAGCATCCATTCGTGAGAACCATCAAGCAGAAGAGCTTGTATTTGCAACGCAGATGAAGCTACACGAGTCAGGTCAGAAACATGCTTCTGATATTCTCTTCGTGGAAAAGATCATCGAACAATCCATTGTTCGAGTATAACCATGCTGAAGCTTTGGCATTATTTGTTGATGCAAAGCTGTCCAAATCGCAGTACGTTAGAATTCAGACCGAGGCCAAACAACGAAATGCGAATATAGGTATATCCACCGTACCACCACATTCTAGAAGCGAAAAAAAGCTGTTATCCGGATGAAAACTATATACACGGTAATATCTTGTAAATATTTCTGTAACTTGCAAGCATCTTTAAATGTTTAAAAGTTAGTTATATTTAAATGTTTAAAAGTTAGTTATATTTAAATGTTTAAAAGTTAGTTATTTAATATATTTAAATGTTTAAAAGTTAGTTATATTTATACTAAATATAGTTTAAAATTAAGTTTTTTTTCTGTGTTATAGTCAGCGACACATGTGTGGAAGTAAAACTACAACAGCTTCTTGACCACACGTCGGAGCGAATCTTCGATGCAAACGAAGAAACGTTGGATAACTTCATAGATGAGGAGCTTCTAAACATTAATTTGACGATCAAGTGGGAAATGGACGGAAGTACCGGAAATGCTGAGTATAATCAAAAATTCGAGGATGATGACGGTTCAAAAAGCGATGCAAGCATGTTCATTACATCACTAGTTCCCATAGTTGCCGAAACGAATGGGAAGACATACTTTCGTAATCCTCGGGCATCATCAACTCGGCTGTGCCGGCCGATAAGGATACAGATAATGGCCGAAACTGCTGAGCTTGCCATTCGGGAGAAAGAATTTATTGAAGAGCAAATTGAGAAACTGTTGCCACCGGAGTTTACGAAATATGGTTCTGCACTCACTGGGACAAAATCGTCCCAAAGATGTTTTGTCTGCCTAGCAAAGCCTACAGAAATGAATGATATAGACAAAGTTCGACAGCGTAAAGAGAATGAGACTGCATTTTAGTATGGCTATGTCCTCTGCACGCATGGATTAGATTTTTCGAGTATTTTATGGATGTTGCATATCGACTTGAAACGACGAAATGGCAGTCCCGCGGAGAAGATAAACAAAAAATGCTAGAACAGAAAAAGAAAATCCAGCAGTGTTTGAAGGTAGAATTGAGTATGAATGTGGATCAACCACGATCTGGTGGATCTGGAACATCGAATAATGGAAATTTAGCTCGATTTTTTTTTGCGAACGCTGAACAAGTAGCAGACATCACTAAACTAAATCTCACAGCAATCCAGCGCTGTGGTTCAATTCTCCAATCTATAGGATCAGGTTGCTAAATCGATTCAATATCATTTGACAACTATTGTGTTGAGACAGCACGCTTGTTGGTGAAATTATATCCCTGGTACTATCTACCAGCAAGTGTCCATAAGGTTCTTATACATGGGTCTTCCATAATTGACAATTTTATGGTACCAATCGGACAACTCTCAGAAGAAGCGCAAGAGGCAAGAAATAAAGATAAGAAAAGGTAGGTAAATACAAGCTTCATGCTGTAATTATTTTATTGAAATATTTTTACCCATCCAACAGATACCGAGAATTCAACACCCAAAGCATTCAAGACAAGCTACGAATCGTGATCTTCTGAACATGCTACTATTGTCTTCTGATCCATGGTTCACAATTATTCGAGGATGGCCGAAGAAAATCGAAAAATCACTATCGGATGACGCGAAAAGCCTTTTGAAAAGTTTTTCTTACGATAGTGAGAATGACAACGAGAACGACAACGAAACCAAAAGCGAGGACGACAGCGATTCATGAAATAGACATGTTGAAAAACTTTTATTATCAGTTAAATTTAATTAAATTAAATTGAACCCAATTAGCGTGCCGTATTTTTTACTATAACGAAGAAAAAGTTTTAACACGAAACATACCTTCCAAAAACTTACATTCACATATGTTTGCTGTCATTTTGAAGTAAATTTATTAAAGTTTCAGATGCACCATGGATACTTTGCCCCATTTTGCCCTTGCTAAGATACAAGTTCATAAATTATGGTCTAAAAATCTACAAAAACTTTTATAACTTTTTTTCTACAGAAAATGCTGCAATGCGGTAATCTACAATATTGTGTATTTTGTTATTATCTACAACTTACTACAACATAGCAAAGCCGTAAAAATTTAGACCAAAAAGTTATGATGAGAAAACCATTTTTGAGGGACCGTCAGCAATAAACGTCACATATCTTGAAAAGTAAAACAGATATTAATTAAGCATCTTGAACAAAGTTCTTTGAAAAGAAATTTTCTACAACTTTGTTCAAACCACCAACACTGTATCTTGAATAGTTGAAAAAATAAAGTTTCGATCTCACTTTTAGGGGGATTAATCTTTTAACTAAAAACATCAAAAGAAGCGCAGTAACATATTGAAACACTTCTCTGAAGACACCATATCTCTTAACTTCATGATAAAGGAGCTATTAATTAAGCGCACGAAAATGCCGGTTTCAACCACTGTGCGTTGGAGAGGGAGATTTCTTCATTGATAAATGATAAATGATAAATCATTTTTACCCTAACATTTATTAAAATTTTCAATGTTTATGTTTACCTAAATTTCTGATTCTACCAGCTATTTAAAAATCTATACCTTTTTTGGTATTTTGAATACTTCTGGCTTCATTTTCGAAGTGTAAATAAAGTAAAACATAATCTTTTCTACATGCTAATATACTGTATTCATAGGACTTCCATCTGTCAAATTAAATTGTATTGCTACAGTGTCATGGCACATGACTACAAAATATAAAGGTTGCATAAAAATGAGCATTTAAGGGTGAAAATTGCGGCCAGATTTCAGGTACGAAGCATCGATTTCCGTCTCACTTATCGTCATTCCCAACTAAGTTTTTCATTGTCAGTACGTTTATCAAACGACTTTTGATCCAAAGAGAAAATCGACGAGGTCGATCTATTACCGCAAAAAGATTTGATTTTCAATCTCTAGCGTGCGCAGTGGAGAGGAGCAAGGGATGGAAAACTTACTCCAGATTACTCTTAGATTAATAAAAGACAAGTTTTAGGTATCCCAAAATCTCTCAAACGAGCAACATGTGTAAGCTTGAGAGCTGATTGTCACCCCTTCTGCGCACACTAAATTACAAAGTTCGTCGAAAATCCTATTGCCCTCTTCTCTCGATTTGAAGCTGATGCCCTCCATTGATCCTAAGTAATGCATCGAATCTAAACCGAATATCCTCCTCACGCATCGCAGTTTTAAACCGGAAGTGCTTCATAAAATATACCATCATTATCTTCATACTTATCATGGCGTAACGTGCCCCTGGAAGAAGAAAAAAACAACTATCAATACTCTTCCATCCACCTTGTCCAATTTCACATTTATCTCACCCAAACAATCCCGTCGACCTCCACTAAATGGCAAAAATGCGTATCGATGCCTGCTTCCCTTCTGCTCCGGACTGAACCTCTCCGGATCGAATCTGTTTGCATTCGCTCCCCAAACATCCGTTCGACGTTGCATACTGTGGATATTGACGGCGAATTTGTTTCCCTTCGGTATTCGCAGTCCATTGATCGTTACATCAGCCACATTTTCACGCATCACAATCCAGGCAGCTGGGTACAGGCGAAGGCACTCCTTCAGGACCATCTCCAGGTACGGTAGGCACTTCAACGCTTCCAGTGTGATGATCGGTTCCGGCTCGGGGAAGACTTCGATGATTTCGTCGTACAGTCTCTGCTGTTGCACGGGATGCATGGCCAACTGTAGACAGGTGTAGGAAACCGCGTTCGCCGTTGTATCCGTCCCGGCTGCGATGATCGTGTATATGTTATGGAGAATCTCCATTTTCTCAAATTTTCTATATTTATTGACGAATAGTTGGTGCACTAGAATACGTGGTCTTTGGCCATTTTCATCTTCTTCGGATGTGTCTGTCGGATGTAAGAAACGGCTTTCTGCACTATCATAGATCTTAATAAAAGAGAAACGTTTCATATGATGTAACCTATGACGATTAAACTGGGTACCTTTTTTGCGTATCCTTCCATCTTGTCCCGGAGTGTGCGCTCCTCATAGTAATCCTGGGTCCAGCGATAGACAGCGTCCAACTGCAGATGCACGTTCAACATACGTCTTGAAGCTACGTAGAAAACTCTGTATTCAAATAATACATCTTTCTGTTACGTTCGAATTACACTGAATATTCAACAAAAATTAAAACATTACCGTTCCATGTTGTGTGCAAAACCATCCGGATCATCGAACTGGTTTATATCGAAGCCAAGTGTAGAAGCGCAAACCAATTCGACGGCCAATCTTGATGCATAATCCATAAAGTTGATTGTCTTACCAGCCGGAATCGCTTCCAGCCGCTTGATCATACTTCTGTTGATTCTGCAGAATGTGGGTATGTAACTTTCCAGTACTTTTCTATTGGAAGTCGGATTTAAAGCTTTCCGTTGGCATTTCCATTCGTTTGCTAAACACAGGAAGAAAAAACATAATCTGTAACTATAATACATTCACACATCCAGTAACAATCACTTTTCGCTGCAAAAACTCCGCAATCAGCCAGAAAGTAGTCGTACACGTAAGGTTTATCCATGCAGTTCGGTTCGGTGAGAATTTGCTGCGCCGTGCTGGGATCATTTGTGCCGAACACCGTCTTTGGTCCCAAATAGAATCGGAATAAATTTTCCTCAGTATCGAACATTTTCTTCATGTTCCAAAATCTTTGCAAATCGTCCTTTCCGATGAACAGTATTCCATTACCCAGTAACGGATAGTATGGTTTCACCCACGGGATGTTTCTAGCAAAATCACTTCTTCGCTTCAAAAACCATTGTATCGCTATCGAGAACCAAATCACTGCTAGTGCTGCTACCGAAAACAACATCCTGTGATCGTTTGCTCCTGTGAGCTTCTCGGTGCGAGCGTCTCAATGCAACTGATCGCGGTTGGTGAACCTTTCCATTTTAATTACACCTGTTCGGAATTATACAGGGTATGACAATTGGTGTCTCAACAGGCAAAAGACAATGTGTATAGTCTCCAGTCGACTATACTAACTGTAGGTTACAGTATCTCCGCATAATGCTTAGATGTCTAAAAATGCACCATCATTCATAGGTCAATGTCTTATGAAAGTTTAACATCAATCGAATCAGGAGGCAAAACATCAAGGGGTACAAGGGGTACAAAAAGATAAGTGGTAATTGCGCACGTTTACATACATTCCGTAAATTATTCATATGAGCATAAGAGTGAGTCACGGGAGTATGAAATAACCATCCGATCTGTCTTATGGTCTCCAACAGCTGAGCTAAGTTTGTCGGTAATTAAATGTGAACTAGTACCATAGAAGGTTCCGACTTTTTGGCTCAGCTCTGGTACTATCTTCGGTCCCAAGCTAATCGATGCACCCCTCGAAACATAGGAAAATCCACGAATCCCTAATTTTATCTGTCAAACTTTCATAGCGAATCAAAACAAACATAGTGTAGCACTAGAGTTTCGACTAGAATGGGGTACGTTAATCGTTTGCTTGGGACCAATAGGCTAGTCAAGTAGTGAGCCAATCGTTAGTTTCCACCGGTTGCTAGTACTTTAATCTCGTCTTTTACCGACCTATTTTTGATGGGTTATAACTTTGTTATGTTCTTATGAATTGAGCAAAATTATTCTAAAAAACATCAGTTTTTTTCGAAAATGTTTAATTTTTTTCTTTGATTTGTTTTCCATCGATTTTGTTTTCCGTACTGAGTACCAATGCTACCGACGCCAGGGAGGCAGCTCCCATAACTGGACCGGGGACCAACGGCTTTACTTCCATAGCAAAACGATTTAGTGGTTCTCAGAATTTTGTTAAAATTGGTAGTTTTGTCCCTAATCGCAAAATATAAGATACGTTTTTTTTATTTATTTTTTATTAGGGTGACCATTTCCATGTTAGGGTGGTCTAGAAATTGGTCCAAAATCTCTATAATTTATCCCAGATCAAGATTTTTAATAATAGATGCATGTAAAATGTTCTATGTGAGTGATCTTGCCATCTTACAAAATTTTCCTCATCCCAGAATTTTTTTTTTCATAGGCTGCTAGATTTTTTTTTGGTCCCAGGGTTTGGAAAATTTGAGGTGTTACACAAATTTCTATCCGAAATCTTTGAAATTGATTGTCTAAAAATTGTCCACATTTGTCTAAGTCTTTTCGCGATCTGAATTTAACTGAATCATCTTCATAAATTGTTTGTAGTCATTTTTTTTATCCTTGATTTGTTTTCCGTCGATCTTGTTTTCCGTACTGAGTACCAATGCTACCGACGCCTCATGGACCGGGGACCAACGGCTTTACTTCCCGTGATCAGAGATTTGATGCCTCAAAAATCCCGGTGGCGCCGACTGGGATTGAACCCATGCCATTTGCGGTGAGAGGCAATCACGCTTACCACTACATCACCGGCGCCACTATTGTTTGTTGCCATAAATCGAGTTAGTGGATCGCAGTCAACGAATAATTAAAACAATTTTTTTCGATTAATAAATGCCACTATTAGTCACTCTTTTTTATTGTTTTAAAGTCACTATTTGGTCACTATTTCCGTTATTTTAGTCACTAAAGTCACTACTATAAAATTACATACCCACTACCAGCCCCACATACAAGGATTTAGAGAACTCAAATTGAATAAAAATATCTCATAGAAAGTCATTTGCACGCCATTTGAGAGGTTTATCAATTTCACTCAATATAGCACATTGCGCACATTACAAGTGCGGAAATCATGTTGGTGTCTTCTGCACACTTGTTTCTTGGTTCATAACGGAAAAATGCCCAACACAATATATTGTCCAATTTGAGATTTAAGCATGCATGAGCATGATTGACCGCCCACGGTTGCTTATCTGTTATTGCCAGATCAGCTGTAATTACACAGAGAACCTATAGACGATGCTTGGGACTAGCAATCATCCTCAATGTTTAAAAACTGTTGATCTCAAACTAGGTGTTGACGTGATACTCGCGATACGAGTCCTCTGCACTTCTACGAAGAATCACTGGGGTTGGGTAAGAGGGTTGGGCTTGAAGCAAGGCTCGTTTTGGTAAACGATAAGCTGAATTGATGTCCTAACGGTCATATAACGCAAAGTAGCTTGGGATTGAACCAACGGTCTTCTGCTCAGTATGCAAAAACTTTTACCACTAGGCAAACGAACTCCTTTTTATCATCGAATTGTTGCTATTACCAAGTAGTCATATTAACAAATAAAACGATTAGACTCTGCTGAGTAAGCAAAAACGGGCGCTCTAAGGCCACCGAGCTCCTCATATGACATCATACCGTCGAGTTGTTGTAACCATTCGAACCCGGCATCGACTACGACAAGTTTCGCCAAATACACGATAAACAAGCGATTTGACCATAAATCTCTTTAATATGAAAGGACCTGGGACCACGTTTTTCTACTCAGTTAGCAAGCGACTGCAACCAACGATCTTTCAAATCCAAAAACGCACTTAGACCTTTATGTGTTTCGATTTGCTCACATTGTTACGCATTGTTCAAGCTATCGTACCTCTTACATCACAACATGACCGACGTTACGATTGTTCAAGCCCTGATTAAACAAGATATTAAAGTGAAATTACGTTCTCGAAAGCAGTTATTAATGTATCCCAAACTGGATCAAGCACCCGCCCTATTTTTTCTAAACATTCCGAAGCGTTCCGCCCAACATCTATCAGTTACGATTTTCTACAATAGTGGCCTGCTTTAAATCGTAATGTCTTTTCCCCACAAGACTCAACTATGTTCTTGCACTTACCGACAGTATTTTTCTTATGTTCTATCTAAAACCACAAAATAGATCACGCGCGATCGAGGTTATCCCGCCAGGAAACAAACTGATGGTTTTTAACTGAAAAAAAAGCTTACCAAATACGATCACCATGGCAGCACCAACTCAACATTAAACAAATTTTATAAAGATTTCCAAAAGAAAGAAAAGGATAAAATATACACAACCACATAAAAACACATAAATAGAGAACATGGCACCATAGACAAGCAGATATAACACTCGCAAGTTTTTCATCGTACACGCATTTAACGGTCAATTTAAATTTATTTATTTATTTATTTTGTTTTTGTTATTCTTCATCGGACTTAACGTGCCTAAATGAAGCCTGATGGGGAAAAGCCTAGAAAAGGCGTAAAAATCCCATATCTTTTCGAAATACATGAATCACTATAATACAATACAATTACAACGAACATTAATCAAGTCTATAGCATAAAAAAAGTTATCCTCCTATGGCATAGAGTTGTCCGTGAACCAGGTAGAAGTCCTCGTCATGCAGTTGAACCGGAAACAAAAAATAAACAGGTAGCACAATCCTTCACGTGTACATTAAATGGACAGCTACTCACCTTCTCAGAAGTCTGCGTTGAATACGGTGACGAAAGGTTTCCGCTGCACAGTTGAAGTCGAAAAACTAGTAAAACTCGTTGAAACGCCCAGACATGAACCGTATTGGGTCATGCAAGCTGTAGTTCGCAGCACGAGGTCCAAGATGCAGGAAACTCCTCGACCGAAGAACTCGTTCGGGTGCGTAGATTTCGAATTCAGCCAAGATTCCTGGAGAGTCGATATCACCAATAAGTACTTTCGCTGCGAACACGGCCTGACTAATGTTCTAGTGTTTCAAGACCCAGGAGTTAACAACAATCTTCGTACGGCGGAAGGTTCACAGGGTCATTCCAAGGAAGGTGACGAAAGGCATTCCTTTGAACAGATTCAATCCTCGCTATTCAAACTGCTTGATACGGGCACCATACTACCGAACTGAATTCCAAGATCGATCGCACTAGAGAGCAGTATAGAGCTTTTAGACAGACAGGATCGCGAAACTCGTCAGCGATCTTGAAAATGAACCCGAGTTGCCTGTTTGCTTTCGCAACGATGCCCGAGTAATGAAGCTTGAATGTTAAGGCGCAGTCCAGCGTGATTCCTAGATCACGAACATTGTCCACACGTTGCAGAAGTTGGTGATTTATCGTATAGTTGAATGCCACTGGTTTCAGCTTGCGATGAAATGAGATAATATAACATTTTTGTACATTCAACGTGAGATAGTTTCTTGAGCACCACTCTTCGAAAGTATCGATTAGGTGCTGAAGCCGTAAGCAATCGGCGAAGCTACGAACAATCACATAGATCTTCACATCATCCGCGTAGAACGATCGGCAACCAGTTGGGAGGATCAGTTCGGCCTCATTCACAAAAATCGAGAATAGCAATGGTCCCAAGTTGCTACCTTGAGGAACACCGGAGCTGTTTGTAAAATAGTCCGATTGCTCTGATCCGATTCTAACACAAAGTTCCCGATTGGTCAGATAGGACTTGAACCAACGAGTTAAACCCGAGGATACACCGAGTTTTTCAACTTTAGCTAGCAGTATGGAGTGGTCAACCCGGTCGAATGCAGCCTTGATATACAACGTCCACCTGCGCTCCAGCTTGCATACTCCGAAGACATAAAGAAATGAACGGAGCTAGATTTGTTGAAACTGATCTCTTGGGATAAAAACCGTGTTGGTCAGGAGAAATGTAATTTCTGCAGCTAGAGAATAATGCGTCGTTGATGATGATTTCGAAAACTTTAGAGCAGGCACTGAGTGATGTGATCCCTTCGTAATTTTCGACGTTTCTCTTGTCTCCGTTCTTGTAGATCGGGGAACATGAATGACGATGTCCAACGCGTAGGGAACTCCCCCTGCTGTAATGAAATATTGAACAGCTTCGAAAGCGGTGTTGTAAGCTCTGAACAGCATCGCTTTAGGATGCTTGATGGCGGATTCGACGAGGTCTACTGTAACCAAGGTAATCGAAAAATTGAAAGCATCACTGGGAGTGTCCCTCACCGCTTCAGCAACTTGGGACAACGAA